TGTTTTAATTATTTCGAATTATATCGCATTTTTAAATTATTGCTCTATTATAGTTTATTATAATCTTTTATTATTTCGTTAAATCGTTAAATTTGTTTTTTAATTTTCTAACAATTTGAATTATTTCGAATTAAATTAATTACACTTAATTTTTGTTTATTATAATCTTTATTATTTCATTAAATTTGTATTTAAATTTTCCTAAACAATTCGAATTATTTCGCATTAATTTAATTAACTTAATATTTGTTTATTATAATCTTTATTTCGCTAAATTTTATTTTAATTTTCTTAACTATTTCGAATTATATCACATTATTTTAATTAAGCTTAATATTTTCTATAAGTTAGATTCTTGTTAAAATATTTTTTTGCTTTTATTACTATTTCATTACTGTCATATTATAAAATTTTAATTATTGTTATCTTACTCAATCTAATTTGAACTAATTCGCACTATGTTTTATTTATTTGAATAACTTCTTTTATTAGCTTTTAGCATCACATCATTCGTGCAGAAGTCGACTTATCACATCTATTAAAGCTGTGCTTTTTTTGGTTTATGACAAGTCTCAATTAGATTATATTACTACAAAAGCTACTCCTGCACAAATAGATGTATAGAAAAAATCTACTAAAATATCTGCAGCTTATAAGAACCTTTTAAGTCCACTTGACGATAGTACAGAAGATACCTATTTCGACCGAATTTTGAAAAAAGTATGGTCTAATACTACGCCAAATAACAATCAATTGGCATACACGTTAACCATATGCCAAATTATGTTGAATCATAATTTTGATAAGTTGGTAATAGATGATGTAGTCACGAAAAAAAAACTGGAGAAAAATATTATAAGTAATATTTAATTAATTATAATTTGGAATTTAAATTTTTTAAAATAATTTGAACTAATGTAATTTTATTTTTAATTTTTTTTATTTTATTTTTTTTATGTAATTTTATTTAATTAGGGTAAGCTATATGCACAGACTGCCTTTATTTCTCCAGAAGATGATAACAATTCTTTAGATGAAGCAGAAGAATTTGAAATAGTCCCAGCTACTACTAAGAAAAGTAGGAAGCGAAGAAAGGCACAATCACCAACAACCACATCCTCATCATGTCCTGTCAAAAAGACCAAAAAGGGTAAATCTACCTGTACCACTGTTACCAAAAAAACTACACCTATTCATTTATCCGTACATTCACTCGCATATTCTCCTGCACATTCATATATATCTGACACACAACAGGAAGATTTGCAACAATCGACACCTACTCATGATAATCCGAATATTCCTTTCTCATCACAAACCATCCCGCAACAAAATCCTCCTTCTGAAGATGCTAGCCATCATGATGAATCATAAATCTTTTTTTTTTTGATTATATAAAATTTCTGAACTAAATTTAAATATTTTTTTTATTTTCTTATTCTTTTTTTTCTTTATTTTTTTTATTTTATTTCTTTATTTAATATATCTTTTTTTCATTTTTTTATTTTTCTTATTTATTTTTTTTTTATATTTATTTTATTATATATATATTTATTTTATTATTTTATTTTTTTATTTAATAAATTTATATTAATATATTTCAAAAGGGTGTGGCGACTTAGTGAAGTGGTGGAGTTGTCGCACCCCAGACGGCAGGTCTAGAGTTTGAATCCCACGGACGACGTTTCGAAAAATAGCCCTGTGATACAGTTAACGGCTATTCGACAATCGGTAGGATCTTGAAATCTGTAATCTCGATCACACCATCTAGAATGGGAGCTTTGGTGTAATAAATCTGAGATATCGGAAGAATTGAAAACCTATTTGGCAAGTCCCAAGTTGGAAGGTAGTACGATCTTTGACAGTACTACAGAAAGACCAAATTTAGAACCGGTGACTGAGATCAGAGAACCAAGCGACCAGGTCCTTAAGTGGGGGATATACCAGCCAAACCGCCGGGTCACCAAACCGGAGGAAAAAGGACATATGTTTTGAAAGCATGTACCAAGGGAAGAAAGACCATATAGACACCTAAAGTCTAGGTGAACTAACCCTTCTGGGTTGCTGGCTGGAAGTAAGGGAGAGACCGATAAAGAATCCAGAAAAGAAGGAAAGTTCGAATGTGGGTGCTGGGGTTGTGTGAACTCAAAACAAGGGCAGGAGTACGTAACAACTACTAAAATAGGAAGGTTGTGGTTTGAGATATAGATTGGGTTATGACAGTATCCTAAAAGATAGCTCATGATACGAACCTGGTGGCGGCAACACAACAGGTACTAGATTAGGAAGAAGTTACCGAACATGCAGGTGAATACATGTGTAGGACATGTACCGCTCTGTTAGGTTTATCTTGAGGATAAAGTAGTCCTAGATAGGGTGTGAAATCTATAGGTGTCACAAAATCTAGCATATGAATAAAGAGTTACATCTTGGTTAGGTAAGAAATGACAGACCGGTTGTGACCAGAGAGTTTAAATAGATAATCCTCTAGTTGGGTTGCAGATATGGTAGCTAGTGTAGAACCTTGGGCAAAGGCACAGGATATTTGGACAAAGGTACTGGGTTATTGGGCAAAGGCACTATATAACAATATTCTTAAATTTATGGAGCGTATACTAGGCAATCAATATTATAATAGCAAAAGCAATGTATAGTTACTATATATAGTTTGGCGAAGGCATTGGGTTATTGGGTGAGGGCACTATATAACAATATTATTAAATTTATGAAGTGCATACTAGGCAATTAACATTATAACAGCAAAAGCAATGTATAGTTACTATAGTTTGGCAAAAGCACAGAATGTTTGGACAAAAGTACCAGGTTTTTGGGCGAAGACTTTAGATAACAATATTATTAAATTTATCAGATAGTATACTAGACAATTAACATTATTATAGTAAAAGCAATTGTATAGTCACTATAGTTTGGCGAAGGCACTAGATTTTTGGATGAAGGTACTGGGTTTCTAAGTGAATGCACTAGATAACAATATTATTAATTTATCAAGCGCATATTAGACAATCAATTAATATGGCAAAAGCAATGTATAGTCACCATTATCTGGCAAAAATACTAAACAACTACCAAAATTATTGGGCAAAGATACTAGGTTTTTTGGCACTGAAAAATTATGATGTTCATTAAATAAAGACATTAGATTTTGGGGTGAAGATACTTTATAATGATATTATTAAATTAATTATGTGATACATTAGGCAGTCAACATTTAGTAAAAGTAATGTATAGTTACCATAGTTATTTGGTGAAGGCACTGGGTTGTTGGGCAAAGTTACTAAGTTATTAAACAAAAGCATTAGACTTTTAGACGAAGACACTAGATAACAAACATTATTAAATTTATTAAATAGCATACTAGATAAACAATATTACAGTGAAAGCAACGTATAGTTACTATTATCATTCTGTGAAGGTGCTAGAAAATTATTATATAGAGACACCAGATTCTTGGGCAAAGGCACTTGATAAAATATTACTAAATTTATTATACTATACTAGACAATCAACAATTAGAAAAATAATACATAGTTACTATTATTGTTTGGTGAAGGCACTAGGCTATTGGGCGAAGGCATAAATAAAAACATTATTAAATATATTAGACAACATACTAGATAATTAATATTACCAATAGTAAAAACAATATAGTTACTATAATCTGGCGAAGATACTAGACAATTATTGAATGAAGGTACCAGGTTTTCAGATGAGGATACTTAATAAAAAAAAGTTAATAAATTTATTATGTGCTATACTAGACAATCAACATTTGGCAAAATTAATACATAGTTACTATAGTTGCTTGGTGAAGGCACTGGGCTATTGGGCAAATATACTGGGTTTTCAAGTGAAGATACTAAATAAAAATATTATTAAATTTATTAGGCAATATACTAAATAATCAATATTACAAATAGTGAAAGCAATATATAGTTACTATAATCTGGTGAAGGCACTGGACAATTATTGAATGAAGGTACCAGGTTTTTGGATAAAAGCACTTTAAAAAAATATTACTAAATTTATTATATACTATATTAGACAATTAATATTTGGCAAAAGTAATGCATAGTTACTATAGTTGTTTGATGAAGGCACTGGGTTTTCAGGCAAAGACACTAGATAAAAATTTTATTAAATTATTAGATGACAAACTAGATAATCAATATTATCAATACTGCAATAGTGAAAGCAATATATACTATAGCTACTATAATTCGATGAAGATACTAGATAAAAATGGTATTAAATTTATTAGTAATATTAAAAAAAACTAACATCTGGCTGAATAATTATGATAGTTATTTGACAAAGGCACTGGGTTGTTGGGCGGGTTTTCAAACAAAGACACTAGATAAAAATATTATTAAATTTATTGGATGACATGCTAATTTATCAATATTACTAATGATGAAAGCAAAATATAGTTATCATAATCTAGCAAAGGCACTAGACAATTATTGAATAAAGGAACCAGATTTTTGAACAAAGACATTTTATAATAATGTTATTAAATTTATATATTAACAAATACTAAAAAAATTAGCATCTGGCATCTGGCAAAATCAATTAATATATAGTTACTATAGTTATTCAGTAAAAGCACTGAGTTATTTGGTGAAGGCACCGGGTTATCAGACAAAAGCATTGGACTTTTGGGTGAAGGCACTATATAACAATATTATTAAATTTATTAGGCAGTATACTAGACAATTTACATTATCAGGCAAATCAATATATATTTACCATAGTTGTCTGGCAAAGATACCAGAAAATTATAATGGTTATTGTATGAAGGCACTGGGTTTTGGGGTGAAGACACTAAATGACCAATGTGATTATTAAGCAGAGAAACTAAACAACCAGCATAACTAGGCTTGGGTGATTGTTCTTTATCATTGGGTAAAAACTCTTAAATAAATAGTAAAAGTTTAAAGTAATAAAATAATTAAAATGCTTTTTATTATTTAATTAATCATCATACCAGATATATTGTTATTCAAATCTGTTTCATGATCATTGGGGATTTTGACTGTATCTGGAATTGCCTTTTTATCAAAAATATTATTTTCATAAAGTTCACTAACAAGAGAATAGTTACTATGGGGCTTGTCATCATAAACTAGTTCATAAGGGGTTTTTTTGTATGATTTACACCATGAATTGTTTATAGCTACTATGACGAACCTTAACCCAAATGACCAGTCGCTTCGACCGGTAGTTTCTCTCTACTTTTCTAACTTTTGCTGTAAAATACTGTCAGTGTGTTTGACAAGATCTTGCGATTGGGGATGCCTAGGGTGTCTATTGATAATCTTCACTAATGGCCATAACCCAATTAGTTCTCTAATGACTTGTGCTACAAATTTCTTTCCATTATCTGACTGTAATATTGTTGGGGGTGATCCAATCATGTGAAAAAGATCAAAAAGGTATGATGCAACTTCGATTGGTCTCTTGGATATCAAGGCTCTGGCCTACAAGAACCTACTGAAATGGTCTCTAATATGGTACATATACTTAAACTCACTATCTGGAATGTAGAATAGGTCGATCAGATCTATCTGTAAAATAAAATATAATTTAAAAAAAATTCTAATTTAATTTAATCCCAAAAATATAACATTTACCTGCAAACGTGATAAAAATTTTTTGCAATAATTGGTTTTACTGCCAAAGAGTGAAACGATGGTTTTCTTGCTACACATGCTATGCAATTGTTCACAAATTGTTCAACAATTTCTTGTTTAATGAACCTCTATCTTTTGCAAATTGACTTCCAAGTCTGTTTCTAACCACCATACTGCGTTATCTCAGCATAGGTTTGATATAAAACCTCATAAAACTTTTCAACTACTAATACAGGATTATTAGTGTCCTTTACAACTACTTTATAATCTCGGCACAATTTCTTTGAGCCAGAATTTTTTTTTGGCCCAAGATTGTAAATTTTTATCATAAAGAAAGCTATCATTTAGATTTAATAGAATTGCCTTTATTTGATTCAAAAGTTCATTATTTATCAAGGCTTTTTTTTGCTTTGATTTTGGAAGGTTACTTATATA